AAACGCAATGCGCTCCCACTGCACGCATATTAGCAAATAATGTATATTCATTGCACTATTTATGAATTCTGAAATCTAAAATTCCCTCAGTGGTATTTTCCCACAGGTAATTTGCCAATGGTATTTTCGCGATATTTAATCTCAGATTGTCATAAAGTTTATTTAGTTGTCTTAACTAACAAGACTAAGACTAGCTAGCTGAGACAATATTTGTACGAAGATAATGAGCATGATTGATATAAAAATAAAACAGAGGTGCACTTTATAGTTACACTTATAATTATCATGACGTAAACATACAGGGTGTCCCAAAAAAACGCAACACCATTGAATTAACGTATTGTTAAAATTTGAATGCCCTGGCACTTAGCTGAACGCAAAGATGCGTAAAATATTGACAAAGATGCATACGTATATTAAATATTGACTTATTAAGAAATTAAAATATCTTTGTAGCGCACAATTTTTTGCTCTTGGGAATTTGAAACAGCTTCTTAAACGTTTCTTTATGCATAAAATTTACTTATGTCAAGCTTTTATGCACGTGTGGGTTCAGCAGAGTGCTGAGGCATTCAAATTCTAACAATACGTTAGTTCAAGAGTTTTCGTTTTTTTTGGGACACCCTAGTTTTTTAAGTTTAGATATAGGTAATGAGAACCATATTGGTATCCTAGTAATAAATTTATGCCACAATAGTCCCTAAAGGTTAGATAAAAAATGTAGTGTGAAATATGATAGTGTGATGGCCATATATCATATTCTGGACATCCGTTTCAGCAAAATTGACTTGAGTTTCTATTTCATTAACATACTACAATTGTCAATCGGTTTAATCTCCAAAGACAAAAATACAAGAAAGGGCCTATGTTATGCTTTTATTTTAAAACTGCACAAAGTTTAATTGGTTTTTGGACTAATATAGTTCTAATATATGTGACTTTTTAACACCCTGTATGCATCCATGCATGCCTGTATCCAGGGCAGGGTTTCATATACAATTAAAACACTTTTTGATTCGATACGTACTCCAAATACTGTCTTATGACTACAGTACATTTATGATATATTAGTGAATGGAGTTGTTATGTACTGTACAACAAGATAATTGCACTGAGTTTTCGAGCTTTGGTGGCACACCAAATGAGTGCACATGCCTTGCAATGAAGCTCTCTCTATACTGGTACAGCAATTAATCATATTCTCATCGAGTCGCACGAAAGTCCATTGTGGCACAGAGATTGTGGTTCCAGTTTGGCTGTACCTGCATGCAATGCAAAACTACACATTTTTGCCGTTGATGACCAATGCTGGATCTCTCGCTGATTTGATCCACGGAACTGATAGAGTTGGATTCTTTGTTTTTATTGGTATTATGTTGATAAGATTTTTTCCTCGAACCATAAATTTAGAAGGTAAAATTCAGGGAAGTGCTGGGGTCTTGAAAAGGACGACGAATAGGCATACCGATTGAGCTCATAAAACCACGAAAAGTTGCTCTCTAAAACAAAAAGCGTAAAAGTTGCCCAAAAGTTGCCCGAAATAAAAAAGTTGCTACTAAAATTCAAAAAGGTTGTACTCTTTACGTTAATTTCACGACATACGTTAATTAAAAGCTTTATACAATTTCCGTAGGCCCGGATAAATGGTTTGGAATTATAAAGAGAAAACGTTTTCTTTACAAAAGTTTTACAAATAACAAAACAAAGGTCATAAAAAAATTTTAAAATAAGATAGAAAAATATCACAGAAAATGAAGCAACCTCGTACCCATGCAGGGTCGTTGCTCGTGAGAAGCAAGAAAATGAAGTTGTCTATCACATGTAAACTTTTCATACTGTAAAGTTTGAACTCTAGTAAAAAGTTGCTCAAAATTACTCAAAAAGGAAAACGTTGCTTGAAGTTGCTCGAACCGAAAAAAATTGCTCCAAACGCAAAAAGCACAATCGGGACATGTCTAACGACGAATGAGCATGGATCATGATTGGGGTGGGGGGTATTACTGGTCAAACATGAAACATTTCAGTCGCTATAAATTAAAATAATCTTTTTTTGCCCAAAATTGTTGGCGGGGGGGGGGGGTAAACGTACCATTTTTCAATAACTTTCGAATCAATGAACCGTAATTTGTTAAATTTTTGGGTAATATTTTCGTAAATTTAGATTTTTTAAACTATAAATTGTAATATCTTAATCTTGATTTTCAAAATAAAAATCTATATTTGTTATCTATATTTCCAATGTTTTAATTCTAGGATCCCATGATGGCAGGGTCCCACAGCAAGTTCTCGTCGGCTCGTCCCTGAAAACACTACATTAGATGCACGAGCATGCATGCACTGATGCATGCATACAAAGGTCAACCTTTATATGCAGAGCAACAAGTCAGAGCTTTCGATAAGCGTGCATGTCGTATATAAATCATAAATCCAAAATCCTAGTACTGAGCTGTGATATCAAAGTCCATGTTTCACAGTTTCGGCATGCATGACAACCTGAATTGCAACCAAACGCAATTATACTGTATGCATTATAATAGTATACAGCTACCTGCAAGAAAACTTGGTTTCCTTAATTTAAAAAAAGCTGAAATTATTAATTTGCCTTCGGCTTTACACACTATACATGCTTAATATTTTCATATTTATACCATGCATGCATGATCGTCTTTAAATTAAATATCCTTAATCTGTATTAGCATGGTATTCTAATGTTCTAACCAGTGGCGTAACCACTATGGGTACAGACCGGGCGAACCCGGGGGCCCCCAACCTCAATGGGCCAAATGGAGCCGCCCAGGCTCATGCTGTAGAGCAAAAACATTGCCCAGGGAGGCCTCTGATATATTACAATGTCGTTTTCTGACCATCATGCAGAATTCTGTAAAATCTCTCCCCAAAGTCCAGGAAATGGCATTTCAGAGACTCTAGATTCAAACATTTTCCAGGTTATCATGCCCTGGACCCCTTAGAAAACTTGTGCATATACGGTGTTCAACTCGTGCCTTTGGCACTTCGAAAATTTTGAAGCGGGGGCCCCCTGATATAACGTTACGCCACTAGTTCTAACAAATGGTTTAGTGGAGCAGACGTGTGCAGTCTGGGCCGAATTTACAACACACATGACAGACCAAACACTGTACTGATAATCACCGTCCGCTTCAGCATTTGAAAGACCATGCAATGAACTGATCTTACCCAAATGTAATTAAATTTTAACCCGTTTAATTTAAAATTTCAGATGAATTTAAATTTTCTTCCCCAGTTTCGCTTAACTTACGGGAGAGAAATAACCATGCACTATTTCCCGCTGATGAAAATATGTCGATATTATAATTATTATCTGAAAGCCGACGTAAATCATATATATATATTACCCGGCCAAGACCAACTGGGTGTTGCATGGTTCCCACGCTGGCCCCACGCAGACTAAACACTGTGAAGTAGCCGCGATATAATGTTCACGAGCTTGGTTGATATATATATATATATAATTAGAACTGGCTAGCCTATAGCTACCTATACTGAAAAATTGACGCCTTCGACTTCATCTGGTGGGGCTTCGCTTCAGGGCCTTTTTTAAGGATTTTCCCGTGGGGGGGGGCATTTTTTGAAAAGGGACCTTTCCGTGAGATAATATATTAGAGGGGGATAGCAATGGCTGAAGGCCACGTGTGTGGCCAATATACCACGCATGAATGGGGGGGGGGGGTTGTCTGGAGGTGTACTTCCCCACAGAAAATTTTTGAAATTTGAATCCCGGAATTGTCATTTCCTACATTCTGAGCATCCAAATTTGCTCCAAAATTATCGCTAAGTATACTTGTATTTGAAATAAATAAAGGGGAAAAAACACACAAAAAGTTAAGATTAACCATCATTTATCATTACTTATTAGAGGAGGATAGCACCGTTCACGTGTGTGGGGGTGTACTCCCCCTGAAAATTTGTGAAATTTGAAGCACGGAAATGCCATTTCCTGCATTCTGAGCATCCAAATTTGCTCTAAAATTTATGCTAACTATACTTGTATTTGAAATAAAAGAAGGAAAAAATGCACAAAAAGTAAAAAAGAATATTAAGCTTAATTTATCATTGATTATTAAAGGATAATCCGCAGAAAATTTTTGAAATTTGAAACCCGGAAATGCTATTTCCTGCATTCTGTGCATCCAAAAACTAAAAAAATTATTAACAATAATTTATCATTACTTAGTTGGTAGAAAAACATAATTTAAATCGATTTTGTTAAACAAGGACAAAGGATAAAGTCTAAAACTTACTTTCCGTTATCTATTTATTAATCTTCGCTGGTTTGTTTGTATAATTTTAGGAAAAAGGGACTTTTCCTGGGGGGCAAACTGTGACTTCGTGGGGGGGGGGGCACAAGAGGGGACTTGGGGGGCATTTGCCCCCCAAGATTGTATGTTAAAAAAGGCCCTGCTTCGCTTGCCCAAGCTTCATTCTTTTTTTCATTCTTTAGATCCTTCAACCAAGCTCGTCACAATGTTTACTGAAAGATTAATATGCATGGAACAGTCTGAGATATTGCATTTTTCAACACTAGTCAGCAGTAAACCAGTATGATGCGGTTTACACCCTGACCCTGTTCTATAATAAAGAACATGTTTACATGCACCATGTCCATGTTCTATAATAAAGTACTTAAAATTTTACACAAAAAATATATAATAAAATGCCCCAGTCTGTGTCTAACATTGGAAACTGAATTGCTAATAAATATACGTGCATGCATGCATGCATGCATGGTGTCATAGAGATGATGTTTCAAATTCGAGGTATTCAAAATTGAGGCAGTATTTGAGGTATTCAAATTTGAGGCAGTATTTGAGGTATTCAAAATTGAGGTTTGTTCTACGATTCGATAAAACCAATTTTCTGTGATGACTTTGACAGTTGACATACAGCTGTTGTTTTCAGAAAGGTTAACAGGTATTATAAATATGGGTTCCCCTCTAAAGTTAACTCATATCTTTACAAGTCTTGGAGAAGTTCAGATCAGAAGAGAAAAATCAGAAGGCACTTGAAAAAAGAAGAAAATGGATTTCAACAAAATATCGTGGTTGGCTATTGTTGTTGTTGTAATGCTCGAAATTGCAGTTTGTTCCTCTGCTGTTGACATCTTGCATTTGCAAGACGAACAACAAGAAGACGCTTCGAGTTCCATCGAGAAACGATCGCTCAAATCTGGAGTAAGTTAACCTGAATTAATTCACACAATATGTAGTGACAATTAGCACCATCAAAATAAATGCACTCCGCGACGTCTGCATGCAGGTCTGCACTGAGTATATTCAGTCATCAACCCGTGTAATATTCTGTTTAGATTGACAAAGAATGTTTAATAAATATACGAAGGGCAGTGGCGGCTGAACAGTTGTCATTTTT